TGCTGAACCTGTTGCAAGCCAATGGGCTGGCAGGAGCAAAATGCTGGGGCCTCCAAGAAATCGGTTTTAATCACCAAGCCAGTTAAGAACCCAAACCGATTTGTATGCTCAGGCCCCATGCTTGAAAAGGGATGGCGTGCTGTAGCAATTGCGCGCACAAGCATGTGATGCGTGCCAGGTTTGCTCCAGCCCTCCTCCTCACCACCATTAACCTTGTTTTGCTCCACCTCTTCCACCTCCTGGTCCTCCTCACAATCGCTACCATCACCATCATCCGAGTCCCAGGCGGGGAAACAAAACGATACGATTTGTTTCACTCATCCGCGGACCTCTCCCGGGCGCGTTCTGACCAGGATCTCCAGGCGAATCCAACCGTGGCGACGAGGGGAGGGGTGGCGGGATCGGCACATCTTCCTCTCCGGACGAAGTCGAACCAGCCGACGCGCCCGGGCAACGGCATCGGCACCGCCCCCTCTGCGGACCCCGCCGAGTCAGCCAGCCGACGCCGGGCGCAGACTTCGGCGCACGCGGCCGACGAGCCGCGGGCGGACGGGCCCCCGGGCGCACGCGGGCGGGCGCGCGCGGCACGGCGGGTCGCCTCCCGAGCGGCGGGGAGGGCGCGCAGTAGCTGGGCGAGGTTGGCTGGCGGCGCCCTCGAGGGGGTGGCACCCCAGACCCCCTCGAGTAATGAAAAAATCATGACGGGAGGTTTTTCGCAATTTTCGGCCTCTGGGGGCCCTCACCGGGCCTCGGGAGCGTCAAAAAACGACTCAGGATGCAAAGCCGGTCATGGGGAAAGGGTCGGGACCTCTGGGGGTCGACGTAATGAAAAAAGCATTACGTCGGGGGTCTGGGACGGAGGGGGGGAGGGCTTCCTGAGGAGGCGGGGCTTCTCGGAGAGCAGGGCAGGGGGGACCGCGTGAAGCCCGCCCGGCTTCTGAGAGGCCTGTTTCGGAGGCCTCTGGTGCCGAAGGCCCCCTGCTCCGAGAAGCCCCGCCGCCCCCCTACACCCACCCCTGCACCCCCTCACGGGTGCCGCCAAGTTGGGCGCGGGGAGCCGGAAGAGGGGGGGGCAGACCTCTGGCGTCGCGATATGGTCGATATCGGCGTCGTCTCCTCGATGTCGGCCTCTGGAGGCCAGTTTCGGGCCCAAGGGCCACAGTGAAGACCGACCCTGGGGAAATCAAAAGGCACCGTTACGGCTACTCCCCGAACCTCTCCCAGGGTGAGTTATATGACCAGGATTTCGAGGCGAATCCAGCGGTGGCGGCGAGGGCCGCCCAGGAGGCCCAAAAAGGAGAAACCAGGGAAGGCTGGAGGCATGGTACCTCCCCAGACCCCCGACGTCATGATTTTTTCATTGCGTCGACCCCCAGAGGTCCCGACCCTTTTCCCATGACCGGCCTTGCATCCCGAGTCGTTTTTTGACGCTCCCGAGGCCCGGTAGGGGCCCCCAGAGGCCGAAAATTGCGAAAAACCTCCCGTCGTGATTTCTTCATGACGCGAGGGGGTCTGGGTCCCCCCCCGAGCCGAGTTTCGGGCCCACGGGCCACCAGGAAGCGCGACCCCCGGGGAGGCGAGACCGGCCGGGGCCGAGAGCCCCTGCAGGACGGGGGCCGAGAGCTCCGCGGGGGCCCCGGATCGTTAAGAGAGCGCGACGCCGGAGGCCGGGGCCCGTCCCGTGGGCGGGGGAGTATAGCGGTCCCGGTCTGTCTGGGATTCCCCGGAGAGGAGGGAGGGAGGAGTCGGCAAGGGGAGAAGGAGGAGCAGGAGGAGGAATAGGAGGAGGAGGAGGAGGCGGAGGAGGAGGAGGAGGAAGAGGAGGAGGGGGAGGAGGAGGAGAGGGAGGAGGAGGAGGAGGAGGAGGAGGAGGAAGAGGAGCAGGAGGAGGAGGAGGAGGAGGAGGAGGAGGGGAGGAAGAGGAGGAGGGGGAGGAGGAGGAGAGGGAGGACGAGGAGGAGGAGGAGGAAGAGGAGCAGGAGGAGGAGGGCATCTCGGCGCGGCAGCGGGTATGCGCCTCGCCGACGGGTGGACGGCGGGCCCCCGGCAGCGGGAGCGGCCTCTCCTTGTGGCCGGCCGGGGCACCCATAAGCCCCGACCCTGATTTTTTGTCACGGCGGGCGCTGTCGCCCGATTTGTCGGGCCCCGGGGGGCCCTCACAGATGGATCCGGCTCGAAAGAGGGCGCAGATGGATGGGTTCTGGGGCTCCACTCTCCTCCTCCTCCTCCTCCTCCTCCTCCTCCTCCTCCTCCTCCTCCTCCTCCTCCTCCTCCTCCTGGTTTTTCACGATGTTGCAATTTTTTAGCATTGTCGGACCTCAGGGAATCGGGGATCCGTGGATCTGACGCGTCGGCGCCAGGTTGGAGAAAAGCCGCCGATCTGGCGTGTGAGTTTCTGAGAGCGTGCACTCGAGCTCGCTCAAGCTTCGCTCTGCAAGGGGGGGAACCCACTCCCGACGCCGCTCAGCGCTCTGGAGCCCAAGGGGGTTCGCTATGCAGGGGGGGGGGGGGAACGCCAATCACGACGCCATTCAGTGCTCGGGAGCCCGGGGGGGGGTCGCTGGACGCCCGAAATGGGTACCGAAAAAATGGGTACGACGCCCAACAGCAGATGTTGTCCCAAACCAACAGCGGCCGCTGTTGGGCAGGCGGCCTCCTGTCTCGAATGGACACAGGCCGCGGCGGCGTGGACAGCGGATCTGTTTCAAAATGAACAGGAACTGCTGTTGGGCATTGTACCCATTCTTTCAATACCCATTTCGGGCGTCCAGAGCTCTGCAAGGGAGGGGGGGCCGCCATTCCCGACACCATTCAGTGCTCGGGAGCCACCGGGGGGGGGCGCCATGCCCGACGCCATTTTCAGTGCTCGGGAGCGGGGCGGGCGATCTCGCCCTGCAGGAGGAGGGGGGGGATGGTCGCCATTCCCAAGGCCACGCAGTTCCGCTTGGGCGCCTCTTGGGCCTTCACAGTTTCCAAGACGGCCCAAGAGGGCCCCAAGACGGCCAAAGAAAGGCCCAAGACGGCCCAAGACGGCCCCAAGACGGCCCAAGACAACCCCAAGAGGGCCCAGGAGGCGCCCAAGAAGGCTCCAAGACGGCCAAAGAAGAGTTCACGACGGCCCAAGATTTCCCCAGGAAGCCCACAGAGGCCCCCCAGAGGCTTCAAGAGACTCCAACTTGCCCCCAAGAGGCCCGCAATAGGGTCCCAAAAGACCCCCAAGGAACTCAAGACCTGCCTCCAAGACGCCCCCCAAGAAACCTCCAGATACCTCCAAGACGCCCTCCAAAAAGGCAAACGACAGCCTCCGAAATCGCCCTAAACGCTTACGTTTGAACAACCATGTGGCAAAACAATTGGATCTTCCATAATTTCACTTATTGAGACGTCTTGGGGGGGCCTCCAAGAGCGCCCCCTAAAGATGGCGTGCAACAGCTATTTCAGCATGTCATGGTTTTAATGGTGATCCACGCGAGAGCGTCATTTCGAAGATCCAAAAGTTTCACAAACGACTTCCACATGTTCATCTTATGATAATGTCTCGAACGAGGGCTGCATCTTCAGCATACACGGTCATCCATTCCCATCAGCATCGGGAGCGCCCCGGATCGGCGGCACTGGCCGGAGGCCACTACAATATACCCGAAACATGGGGCCACCTAGCCGCCTGAGTTTGCGACGCAGCACGACGATCCCGCATGGAAGCGGGTCCTTGGGCTGATCCACGCGCCTTCGTCCATCTTTGCGCTGACTCGAGGCCAGCCATGGGCGGATGATTGCCGTGCACGCACGAAGCCTGGTCAGCACAAACCCGGGTCGGCCAGGGCCCTTTCGCGAAACCCAGGTGGCCGCTTAGTAGCTCCCGAACTCGGGTCAGCGGAGGGCGGAAAAGGGGGTGCCAAACGGGATTTGCTGACCCCGTTATCGCTCACCCCAGTTTCGCGCGCCGCAAGGTTGGGCGTCGATGCCATCTCCTTAGCATGGGGGAAGCGGGTCCTGAGCGAACCGTGTCCTGGACCCTGGGGCCTTCCTCCAGGACGAGCTGTCCATCCTGAGTCATTTGCTGACTGCCCCGGGGCGCGTGGAGGGCCCCGAGCGCCCGAAAACGGCGATTAACCACAGGAGCCCTCTCCCTCAGTACCCCGTCCCCCCCATGGCGACGATGACATCCCCGTGAGCCGCCCCTGAGGGGGGGAAGGAGAAGGAGGAGAAGGAGGAGAATGAGGAGGAGGGGCAGGAGGAGGAGAAGCAGGAGGAGAAGGAGGAGGAGCAGAAGGAGGAGGAGGAGGAGGAGGAGAAGAAGGAGAAGCAGGAGGAGGAGGAGCAGGAGGAGGAGGAGGAGGAGCAGGAGGAGGAGGAGAAGCAGGAGGAGGAGGAGCAGCAGCAGGAACAGCAGGAGGAGAATGAGGAGAGAGGACGAGGAGGAGGAGCAGGAGGAGGAGGAGGAGGAGGAGAGCAGGAGGAGGAGGAGGAGACAGGAGCAGAAGGAGGAGGAGGAGGAGAGGAGGAGGAGGAGGAGCAGGAGGAGGAGGAGGAGAACGAGGAAAAGGATGAGGACGAGGAGGACGAGGAGGAGCCCCCCCTCTTCGGCGCCTCTGGTTGGGTGGGGGGGGGCCTTGCGCCGCGGTCGGAGCCTCTGGGAAAACGGCAGCGCGCGGCGCCGTCTGGGCGGGCGTGTCCTCCCCGGGCCCCCGTCTCTTCGCCAACCCAGAGGAAGAGGAGGATGCCTCCTGCTCCTCCTCCTCCTCCTCCTCCTCCTCCTTCTCCTCCTCCTCCTCCTCCTCGTCTCCTCGTCCTCGTCCTCGTCTCGTCCTCGTCCTCTTCCTCCCTCCCCCTCCTCCTCCTCCTCCTCCTCCTCCTCCTCCTCCTCCTTCTCCTCCTCCCCACCCTCCCCATCCTCCTTATCACGTCGCCTTCGCCTCCTCGACCATGCAATCAGCGCCGATGCCTCGTCCTCAACTCATCAAGACCAGACCACCGTGACAAGATCATAACAGAGCTGTCGTTGAAGTAGATTGAACAAACACCTCGGCAATAAAACTGCAACGTCGAGCTCCACTGCATGTTCCCACAAACGCTGCGGGCCACGGCAGTAGTAAGAGATGCTTTGTCAGGTGGCCACTGATGCCCGTCTCCTGAGCTAATGCGGGGACTGGGACTCGCGGCTGCTACTGAACAGGTCTGGACGCTTTAAACAGAAAGCTCGAATACACAAGCGCCTGCCTGGTGAGGTGCTATGTCACTGCCCAGGCTCGCGTAAAAAAATACACCGCCGTGCTGCAGCACGAGTTGGAGTGTCCTCAGGTCCCTTGAGCCCTCCGTTCTCAGTCCGCAAGATTGAAAATGTTGGGGGCCCGGGCCCCAACTTGACGGATTCACCGGGGCGCCGCGTGTCACTGCGTGCCCTCGCTGGACTTGTCCAAAAGCAAGAAGCCCACAAGACGGTCCAAGAGAGCCCTGAGACGGCCCAAGAGCAGTCCAAGATGCTCACGGTGACGCCCAAGAGGCCCCCAACCCAAGAGGGCTCCAGAAGGCCCTAGAAGGCCCAAAAGCAGATTTTGGCTGAGATGTCCTCACGATTCGCTCAAACTTGCCACGGCGTGCAGGTGACGCTGGCGGTGTGCTGCCCGCGCCAAAGCGAGAACGGCGGTTGGACGGACTTTGGGCCGTTGTACGGAAACTCTGCCTGCATGATATCGTTTTTTCGTTTTCGGGCTTCCACCGCTCCAAATCAGTCCAGGGAGCCCAAGATCGCCCCAAGACGGCCCAAGAGGCCCCCGAAGAGGGCTCCAAGACGGCCCAAGAAGGCTTCAAGACGGCCCAAGAACCGCCCAAGAACCGCCCAAGACGGCCCCCAATAGGACCCTAAGAGGGGCCCCAAAGGGGAAGCTCGAACTGACACCTTGGGCAGTCCGCCCCAAGAGGACCCCCGAGACCGCCAGCATGCCCTTGGCAGGACCCCAAGAAGCCTCAAAGAGGCCCCCAAGGGACCAAAAGGAAGCCCCCAGAGGCCCCCAAAAAGCCCCCAAGAGGCCCCGGGAGGCCCCAGGACACCCCAAAACAGCATCTAAGAGGCTTCCGAAAGATCTCCCAAAACAAAAGCCCTTACAGGCATCCAAGAGGTATCTGACCTGCAAACCAAGCGCGATTGCGGGATGGGCCGAAAGCCACTGGATGTTCAACACAGAATCCAAATTTTGACAATTGACCGACAACATGCGGGAATGGAATAGACGGAGAAAAACCTGTCTCTGACGGCAGTGCTGGTCCAAGCTATGAGGGTAAAGAGTCTCTGTGCTCTTACATCTCTCGCCTTCCAGCGGTCACCATGAACAAGGCGCTCATGTCGTTGCCTCGTCGGCCCCGAGGGTGCCGACAGAGGCGATGGCGGCGGCGGCCGCGCAATTTGCACCATCGGTGGAAAAACTACGGAACCTCCTTCTCCGATCCCTCCTTCCTGCGAGCCGAAGAGGTCGCTCACCTACTCATCGCCGCCTTCGTCCGCGAGGCGTCGAAAGAACCCTCTTCGGGCTCGGCCGGGTCCAGGTCCAGGTCATCTTCCTCCACTTCCTCTACAGGAGCAGAAACCCCACCGTCCCGATAAGCACCCCGACAAGCGGAGCCGTTTGGTACGCGCACCCAGGGAAGGAATCGAACAGGACAGTGCTGTTTGGTAAACGCCCGAGGCTGTGTATGAGGAGACCAAAAGATACCAATACCGCTACTCCTCTGACCTCTCCCGGGGTGCGCTCGGACCAAAATTTCGAGGCGAATCCAGCGGTGGCGACGAGGGCCTCCCAGGAGGCCCAAAGGGGCGAAAGCGTGGCAAGGGTAGCGATATCGGTGCCTGTTGCCCCCTCTGAGTTTAGGAAGCGCCGATTATGGAGGTCGGGGCGCTTTGTGTTCTCCCTCGGTCCTCGGCCGTGAGAGGCTCGAACTGCGCCCGCGCCTCGGCCTCGAAGCCCCGGGCGGCCAGGAGCGCCCCGATCTCCTCGCGCTGCGAGCCCGCGCCGTGGAACCTCGCCACGGTGGTGATCACCTCCTCGATACCACCCTTGCCTGCAGGGCGACGAACAGTCTATGCACATCCACTGCTCCCTGGCCAGGCCCATCCGGAACCCAGCAGCGGTGTCTGGGCCGTGCCCCCGTGGCTTGGCCAGGAGGGCGTGTGCACAGCTTCTGGGCCCAGGGAGGGCCCGCTAGGGGTCAGTGGAAACGCTGTGTAGAGTTCGTCTCCCGATGCCTGGAGGATCAACAAAACTACATAGACACAGAGTCTAGGAGAGCCGCGCGGATTGTTTGGATCGGCGCTGGACCCCCCTCGCTGGCGCGCGGAGCACGCCAGGGACGGCGCCGGAGGCGCCAAAAGGGGGGGCCCAGCGCCGATCCAAGAAATCCACGCGGAGCTCCGAGAAAATATGTCTATGCCGTGTTTCGTTCTTCGATGCCGTACAACGTCCTTCTCATCCAGCGGGTGCTCAGCCGTGGCCACAGAGACACCTTCGCGGGCTGGAGCGAGTCCATCATCATCTCGGCCACCTGCTCCTGGGGGGGGGGGCAACAAAAATAAAAACCCGCTTCTGCACCTCGCGGCGTCGTGCTTCTGCACCTCGCGGATCCCCCGAGGTCTCGATCCCTGCCCCCGGGAGGCCGCCTCTCAACCCCAAGCTGCTTTTGCTGACTGTCCTGGGGCCCGTCCAAGTAAGCGCCCCTGGCAGCCGAAGACAACCAAAAGCCGTCCGTGTTGATTTCGCCGCGGCGCGAAAGTCATGGGCAGCAGCGGGCTCCCGAACCCCAGGATCAACAGCATATCATCTCTCAGGGGTGCAGCTTGTACTTCCTTTTTTTTTGCGGGGCAACGGCCCAGCGGCCACCGCCCATGCGTTTCCGTTGGTTTTGTGTCTCAGGGCTCCTCCGATACGATCGGTAGCGCCGCGTTTCCTGCGGTAGTTTTCTTTCAGATTGCCCTCGCAAAGCTTGTACTTCCGCCAGCTTCCGCCGCCCTTCCGCCAGCCTCCGCAGGCGGCGGCGCCCTGTGTTCCTTTCGCCAGCTTCCGCCGTCCTTCCGCCGCCATCCGCCCAGGAAGAGTCGCCAACTCCCTCGATCCCTCGATCCTGAGACCCGACGTCTCGAACAAATTGAAACTTAGTGGAGCATCATGACGGGAGCCCTGGACACCGTCTTTGTGTGCCACTTCTCCAGCCTGATCGATCTGTGAGGGCCCTGGGGCCCGAACCTGGGCGAAGACGCCCAGTGCGACAGACATTGAGAGTCGCCATAGTGTGGCGGCGCGCAGAGGGGGTACGGCAGGTTCGTGTCGTGTCGACCCCGGCGTTGGTTTTTGACACCGCAGGGATCGTTCAACCTTGAACGATCGGCCGCTGCCGCAACGTCCGATCGTTCAACATCGATCGATTCTGGGTCGCCGGCGGCGTTCAACCTTGAACGTCCGCGCTGGGGTCGCCGCTGGTCGACACGACGCAGACCCACCGTAGGGGGAGGGGGGAAGGCTTCTTCGACGGCAACTGCCACTCAGAAGGCGCCGGCCTCGTACATCTACAGACAAGGCCCGCGCCTTCTGAGAAGCAGGGGTGCTTCTAAGAAGCCTTCCCCCCCTTCCCCCCTAACACCCCTCTCTGCGCGTAGCCGACGGTGTGAAAAAATAGCCGACGTCGCCCTAGGATCTCAGGGGAAGGCGAGGCCCCCTTTCTGGAACGCCCTACGTCTTGCCATCGCTCGGACGCCCATTCCCCGTGCACCTTTCGATCTCGTGCGTGCCGTTATTGGCAAGACGATCTACGACGCTCCTCGATGGCCCTCGCCGGAGAAAAATGCACACGCACGAGCGATGCCAACCCAGACATGCGACGCCCTGACATTTCCAATATGGGGTCTTCAAAATCCCGACCCGTCCCCCAGGACCGGCTTTCCTCCTGCACCTTTTTTCTGCAGGCCCCGAGGCCCGGCGAGGCCCCCCCCCGAGGCCGACAAGGAGCCCAAATCTCCCGTCCTGAGCATTTCCATGCATTCTGCTTCAGCTCCGCTGCCAGCACGGCGGGACATCGCGATGTTAGGGGTCGTCCATCGGACCTTGCCAGGCGTTGGGCGTGGCTTAATGGGGGGGTCACAAATGGGGGGGTCAGAAAAGGTCCCCTTTCGTGCCCCTCCAGGGCCCCAGGGGGCTCGTTTAGGTACCGTTTGGGCACCTTTTCGGACCACGCTCGCCACCCCCCCATTTATGACCCCCCCATTACGCGGCGCCCAAAGGCGCGGGCCCTCGTCATTTCCGGCGGGGCGCTCCGCGCTGGGCGGCGGCCCGGGCGCTGGGCTGCCGCCGCCCGCGCCGGGCGGTGCGGGCCACGGGGTGCTCCCGGAGGCCGCGAGGCGGCGCGCCGAGGGCGCCGGCGGGCCGGCCCGGGCGGCCCCGCGGAGGGCCCGGGCCAGCGCCCGGGCGACGGGCATCGCGCCGCGGGTGCGGGTGCCCCCTCTTCAACTACTCCAGAGATCGTGATAAAAGGGAGGGGGTCTGGACCCTCCAAGACAAGCCATTTCAGACCTCCCCCGTGGGAGAACCCTCCAAAACATCGTCCCCAGACCCCCCAGGCCCTCCAAGATAGCCTGGAAGAGACCCCCCCCCCGAAATGAGACCCCCCTCCCTTTATTACGAAATCTGGAGTACCTCCTGTTCCCGTTCTGAGTTGCGGTGGTATAGGCCTGCTTTTGCTAGGTAATTTACATAGGCCCTCGCGCGGCCCGCCGCTCGGACCTTGACACGCCGTCGGCGCGCTCGCCTGCGGCTGGCAACAAAAAAGCCGCGGGTGCGGCGCTGTGGGCCGCCGCCCCAGACGTGCTCGCGGCGCGAAGAAGATCGGGACGGGCGGTGTGTTGGACCCTCTATGCGACCCCTGGGGGGGCATCGCTGGGCCTCGGCAGCGTCCAAAACACGGCGCAGGACGAGAAGCAGGCCCCGGGGAAGGGGTCGGGGCTGCTGGGGGCCGCGCCTGGGGAAAAATCGGGGCGTCGCATGTCTGCACCGCCAAGGCGCGTGCGGGGGCCGGGGCTCTCGGAGCCAGCGGCGCGCGCCCAGCTTCGCTCGTGCTCGACCTGCCAAACGGCGTGGCGCCCACAGAGGCCGCACCCTCCACGTGCCCTCTGCGAGGCTGGGGGGGTGCGTCTCCAGAAGGCCGTGCCCCTGGGCCCTGCGAAGCAGCGCGCCCCTTCGCCCCATGCGCTGCTTCGCGGCCCCATGCCGCACGCGCGACACGAACCCGACGTCTCGCGGCGCACCCCCCGAGGCGGAGCTCGGGAGCCCGCGCCCATACACTACCAACCCTGGGCCATCCTGGGCCCTCGACTAGCGCACATCTACGCCTCGAGGCCTGGCCAGGAGGGGGACCCTGGGATCCGACGTTGCAAAAAAAAAACGGCGACATCGTGAAAAACCACGACCGGAGCCCCGGACCCCATCTTTCAGCCACATTTCTCCAACGGGATCGACCTGCGAGGGTCCTGGGACCCGAAACTGGGCGAAATCGCCCGGTGTGAAAAGAAGGCCTCGCCCAGATCTAAGAGTAGATGCGCCTCTGGCCCATGACAGGAGGGGGTCCCTCCGAGACCCAAGACTTTGCATGGGGGAACGGGTCCTGAGGGAAACGGGTCTGGGGCCTTCCACCGGGACTTGTTTTTCATCCTGGATAATTTTGTCAGTCCCAGGGCCCGTGGACCCTGGGAGCCCGAAAACGGGACAAAACTGAAGGGCTCGTTTCGCTCAGGGCAGTCGGGTCGGGCGAAAGGGGGGGATAGCAAAGGGGGGGGTTGAGAATCAGCTCACGTAGCTGATTTTCCCGGCGCCTCCCGGCGCCGGGAGGCGGCTATGTATCGAGGAATGGGCCCCTCGGTGAGGCCGAAACCACCTGCATGCAGCAAATTTCGTACCCCCCCCTTTCCCAATCCCCCCCTTTCGTCCGGCCCGAGGCAGGCTTCCCCCACGGCGAGGTCCGACGGGCCTGGCCGGGGCCGGCGGGGGCGCGCGGCTGCGGGCCTCTGATCTCGGATGCCGCTCCCGGCGGACAGTATACCCTGCGAAATGCTTAAGAAATCATGGGTTAAGAAATTCATAGTCTCAGAATTTGAATAAAAAACCCACAATGTCCATTAAAATCTCAGGATTTACATTGAAACATTAAGAATAATCGAGGCTCTGGTCGAAAAAAAAAGTTGTCTTAAGCATCGCCTGAAGTGTATAGGAGGGCGACGGGAGCGAGGCGCGCAGAGAGAGAGAGAGAGAGAAGCGAGGGCGACGGCCCTCGCGCCAGGGACGGGGGGGCGCACGGACCAGGCGCCGGGGGGGGGGGGGCGAGACTGCAACACCCTGCGAGGCTCCACGAAAGTGCAAGATATCACGACGGAGATGTCTTCGCCGTTCTCGGCCTCCGGAGGCCCCCGCCGGGCCCCGGGAGCGTCCAAAGAAGGAGTCGGCATGAGAAGCGGTCCCCAGGGAATGGGTCGAGACATCCTCCTCCTCCTCCTCCTCCTCCTCCTCCTCCTCCTCCTCCTCCTCCTCCTTGGGACCAAGTGCTGAAAGAATCACGACAGCGGGTCGCTGGGCACTCAGAAGAGCTGCGCCACTGCGGTGCCTGGCCAGGGCCACCCAGGGCCTGGGAATGGTGCATACGCCCTCCCGGCCCTGCTTTTTGCTTCGACGAACTTCACAACACCAATCGCTTCGCCACGCCTGTCGGGAGGCTCCGTCCTCGAGCAACCAGCGGCAACATGCGGAACAGTGGAGTTGGACTGCTCCAGATTTCGTAATAAAAGGGAGGGGGTCTGGACCCTCCAAGACAAGCCATTTCAGACCCCCCCCCCGTGGGAGAACCCTCCAAAACATCGTCCCCAGACCCCCCAGGCCCTCCAAGATAGCTTGGAAAAGAACCCCCCCGAAATGAGGCCCCCCTCCCTTTATTACGAAGTCTAGACTGCAGCTCTCCGCGTCCATCCCGCCAGAGCCAACGCCCTCCTGGCCTGGGCCAGGAGGGTCCGTGCACCGGAGGCCCAGAGCGGCCCCTGCCAGGAACGGCGGTGGTGCATGCGGTCGGGAACTTCTGCTTGGCGTGTCGCCGCGGCGGCCCTGGCGACACGCTATATACCATGCCAGTGGATAGCGTGTCGCTCCGCACGGCGGGGCGGGAGCCTGGGAAAAGCCCAGGACGTTGACGCTTGGGGCTGGGACGAGGATAGCGTGTCGCGCCGAAGCGTGGTGGGCCATAACCAGCTAAACGACACGCTATCCAAAAGTTTCCCTCCGTTGATGCATCCTGCGGGAAGAAAGGCGACCCTTCCGCCCCTGAATGGCGCGCGCGTGAACACTGTGAACACGACCTGGACTCTTAGCCCTTGGCTTCACCGGCCCCTCAGAGCGCGCGGCCTGGACCAACACACGGCCTGAGCCAACACTGCCATCGGGCGCAAAGAGGACAAGTGCGCAGGAAGAGCGTGAGCCTGAAGAAGCTCTGGTATAACAACCTGCTCCGTCCACCCTTTCTCGAGGGATAGGCGCGCGTTGGGCCCCCCACCCACACGGCACATCAGCAGGGGGGAGAAGAAACAAACGTGATTAGAGGTGTTTGGTGAGAAGGGAAGAACAGAGGGCGCGGGGCTTTCAGGCTATGTACGAGCAGCGTCCTGTACCGAAGCCGGCTTGCACAGGGACCCGCGTGACCCGATCGAATTGAGGCAGACGATTGGGAGCCCTACGGCGGTATGACAAATCGGCAGGCACAGATGACCCCTTGCTTTAGGTCGGGCATGTTCTCCTACAGGCGGATTTCGGAGGAAAAATGGAAAGTAATCAAAACATACCCCAAAGAGCCAAACGCAGTAGAAACACTGTCCTCAGACTAAGTTTTGACTATTTTTGGATGTTCCTGCTGTACGTCAGGTTCGTGTCGTGCCGACCTCGGCCTTTTCCGACACGTCCAAATATCGCTCCGCATCGAACGATTCTGGGTCGCCCGCGGCGTTCAAAATTGAACGCCGCTGGCGGGGTCGCCGCCGGTCGACACGACACGAACCTACCGTCAAGTCGGGCGTGTCCCCCTACAGGCGGATTCTGGACGAAAAATAAGAAATACCCGAAACATATGCAAACATAGTCAAACAAGTAGTCCCACAAAAATCATCCCTGGAGTATTCTCTGACTACGTTTGAGCAGTCCTCCTGTAGAGGGACAGGCCCGACTTAAACCCTGCCGCAGAGGGGCATGGCCGACTCCACCCTTGGCACATGAAGCGGGAGGGGCCCCGACGGCGGCACTGGGGCCCTGGACCCAACGACGCGCCCTGGGTCCCCCCAGAGAACGCGGGGCAGCGATGCAGCGGAGGCCAGTCCACAGGGAACCTCCCACTAAAGGGCCCCGAGGACACACAAAAAAACACTCACAGACCCCAGGATTCCCCACATCTTCATACTTTTTCCTGGGTTTGCGTCTCCCCCCCCACTTCCCATACTTTTCCATATTTTCGTGGGGATCGACGATTAATTGTGTGTCTTTGTTTCTCTCCTGGTCCACATCCTGCAAGAACATCCTTCAAGAACATGATACCCTCCGCCAGCCCAACTGACGAACATTCGAAGGTGACCACCCCCAGGATGCACAAGAGGATCCAACAAACAAGAAGAACATCAAGGCACTCTCCCCGAACCGACCTCGATCTTGTACCTCGGTCCGATTGTACCCCTGACCGCCCCCAGCCCTGCTGGTTCGGGCTCTGACCTGCTGGCTGGCGACGAGGCGCGCCTCCTATAGTTAGTCTTACAGAAGGAGCTTGACCACAAGACACCTCCCACAAGAAACCCGACCCTGAGACCCCAGGACGTCCATTGATGTTTGGCCTGGGAGCATCGCGTTTTCCACAGCAGAACCGTCGAAACCCAAGAAACCCAGTATAGAGCCTATCGGCCCAATCCCCTGGGCCAGGGGCCCGGACGCGGCCCCTAGAGGCCGAAGCTGCGGGGAGGGAGACGCGCCCGTCGCGGAGGCATGGGCCCCTCCTCCGCCATCCTCCTGCGTCCACCCTCCTCTTGCCTCCTCCTGCCCCTCCTCCTCCTCCTCCTCCTCCTCCTCCTCCTCCTCCTCCTTTTCCTCCCCTCCCTCCTTCCTTCCTTCCCTCCTCCTCCTGCTCCTGCCCCTGCTCCTGTGGCCCTAGGGAAGTCTGCAGGGCCAAAGGCGCAGCCCTGGAGGAAAGACGCACGCCAACACCTGCTGCTCCTCCTACTCTATCTCCTCCCCCTCCTCCCAAGTCTAGCCACTAAGACGAGGGGGCGGCAGCAGATGAAACCACCCCATCCACGATGCCCGACCCCGTGAAGCCCAGAACATCCACAGCGGGGACACCCTGACCTTTGAATCGACCGCCCACGACCAGGGCTGATCCAGTAATATACATGTATATATAGACACATACACAAACATACATACATATACTAGAACCACGCGCGCGCTTCGCGCGCGCTTAAGTTCTAATCACGGCTGCGCCACGTTTGTTGCTTTCGTTTTCGCTCGTGTGATCATCGACGACGGCGACGACGACGACGACAGGGGCGGCGACGAGTGACGACGAAGGCAACAACGACGATGACGACAACGACGACGACAGCAACAACGACGACGACGACGACGACTACGTCCGCCACCACCACGACGACGACGACGTCGACGACCCCTGGAGTGGTCCCGAGGTCCGGATAACTTCCGTAGGCCTCGAGTTTCGTCCTTTAATGTTTGACGGTCCCGGGGCCCGTTGGGGGCGTCAGGATGCCGAGAGTTGTCCGGAAGCTTCGGGATCGGCCAGAATACCTCAGGGCGTCTTGGGAGAGGGCTCTTGGGAGCCTCTTGGGGCTTCCTGGCGGCCCCGTGGGGCCCGCTTGGGTTT